TGGTTCTGCCCTTTTAAGGTGTTAGTTGCATTTCGGGGGAAGGGTCCATAGACCCTCATAGTTGGCCCTTTGGTTAGGTGAAGGTGGCGTTAGAGATTATTTGTTAAATATAACAAATAGTTGTGTGTCTGATTGGTCCAAATGCTACAGCCATCAGTGTTTTTTTTTTATATACCAAACCATTCTTGTATAATGCATCAACATGCCTTCCAGTTTGGAGAAAAATATCAGTTTATTATTATTTTTTTTTTCCTCAACATTCCAAAAAATCCCCTTCTACCCACTGACACTAACAAAGACATGAATTCCTCCATGCCGTGCCAATTACATGCCATGCAGTATTTTGTGACAATGCAGTTACACTTTTAGGCACTTTATACACAGAAATCCACATACATTTTGACAGATATCTATAGGTAGCACTTAATTTCATGCACACAATTGTAAATCAAAGCTGATTTTTGTCCTAGCAAACCAGTATCCTACAACGTTTCCCAACCCTTAAGTACTCCTAACAGTACACATTTTGGATGTCTTCCTAACAAGCCTAATGTACTGTGATGCAGTGGCACCTGCAGCTGTATGCACTGTGCACACTGTGCGTACCATGAGGGCTCAGAATGACCTGAGATTTGCCCCGCAAACATTTAAGCAGTTATTATAGGCCTGTGTGTCCCGTATTTCTGTCGACTGAATAACCAGCCATGCCATTAATTAGTCTTTTTGCATGCCAAAGTCAATTTCTGCATATAAATATTACGCCAAATAGAAGCAAATGTGTTATTCGCACTTTCATGAGATCGAGTTAGCCTACAACAATTAATTTGTAGGCTATTTTACAAATGGGAATACAACTAATTCATGACAATGTTTTAAATTCAAGCTACCCGTAAAATGTATAGTGAAAAGTACTTTAAAAGCGTCTGGAATGCAATAAAGTAATTTTTTAAAGCTGTTTAGGGGGGAGGCTGTTAAATAATTCACATATCATACAAAATTGTGTTGCAGCAAATCCTTTAAATTTTAAGGTAATCAGAACAGAGCAACATACAAATCAGAAAAAGCAGCTATACAATTATAGGACAAAGTTTTACATATATGCCAT